CTCTGTACACACACACACACACACACACACACACACACACACACAATGTAAGCTTAAATTCTTTGTAATCTCACCTCCTAGAAATAATCACTGTTAGGGGCCGGGGAGATGGCTTAGTGGAATAAGCACTTCCCTGGCAAGCGCAAGGGCCTGAGTTCAATCCCTGGTTCTGCAAAAAAATAAATTAATTAATAGTAATAATAATAATAATAATAATAATCACTGTTAACATCCGGATGCATCATTTTTCTGTTTTCTCTCTTCTCCCTGGAAATGTAGTTATCATTTAGATAATGTAGTGGTTAATATGAACATGGCTGTTTATTTTCATTTTCTCCTTTGTTGATAGTTGACTCAAAGAGAAATTAATCCTCACCAATTCTCTGGGCTGGGACCTGGTCTTAAGTCCCTGTTTGTTTGTTTGTGTTAATTTCTTCTCAGATGGCCTTGCCTTTAGGACACGTCTGAGCCTCAGCTCTGCGGTGACCTGGAGTGGGTGCCCCTAGATACTCCTGCCTCTTGGGGGACACTTGTGGTGCTCTTGGTCTTAGGTGGCTTCGTGGACCTGACTCCCCTGCTTCAGAGTCCCTGAAGGCAGAGGTGGCTCTGCCATGTTCATGGCTCTGTCCTCGGCCCCTGGCCTGAGCGACTCAAGCCAAGTGTGGACAAATACACTAGTGGAGAAAGACGTTAGCGAACGACAGGTATTAATATGTATTAATATGAATGGAAGTCCTCTGGTGTTTTCAGCTAGTGAGCCAGCATCGCCCTGCCCGACATGACATGCAGATGGATGGATGCGGCCGCCCTGCCTCGCTCTTCTGCCCCACTGGGTGCAGCGCTCCTTGGCTCACCTGCATGCCCGCCCTAAACGTCGCTTCACCCACCCGTATCACCCATCTGATTCCAGACCCGCCGGACCTACTTACTCCTGCTTTCTCTGCTTTGGTCTCATTTCGAAACCCGTCGCCTCCACCTAGTGCCCGAAGGGTAGCTGTTGCTCACATCGTCTCCCTTTCTAATAGCTAGGTGTTCTTTGTAGGATACTAAGCATCTTAAACTTCACCACTTAACAGAGATTTTTTTTTCAGTTAAGTCTTGCATACAAAAATGAGAGGGAAATTTCAGGGAGAAGAATATTTGAAGAGTTTTCTTATACTTTAGCTAATGAAGCAAATAAAACAAAACTACTTTCGGAAGGAAATATCCCCCATCCTCTTCCACTGTCTGTGAGCAGCTCCTGCACAGCGCCACCTCTCGACATCTCCTGGTAAAACGTTTAGACTTTTTTTTTTAAATCATCTGGGTTAATAAATACCTGATAATGTTACCTAGATATATACATAACATATAATTCCAATATCCACTTTATATTTTCCTACACATTTAAATATCGGTTTGTTTAATTAGCGCTGTTTTCAAAGAGATGCCAGAAAGCACAGAAAAGCATGAAGCTTGGAAAAACTGCAGCGAATGCATTTCTCATTCGCTTTAGTTGTTTAGATTGTTAATTTAAAATTGGTGTCAGCACTTGAAAGCTATTTTGTGAGATAATCATTCCTTCATTATTATGCTATTTTGTGAGATAATTATTCCTTCATTATTATGCCTTCCATTCTTTTCCAGAATGTCCTTGATACTCCGAAAATAATTTATAACAATTCGGTGTATGGGTTAGTTAGAAGACATGGTTTTCAAAGACTAGCATGAAAAAAAAAAAATAGCTGATGAACTCTAAGACTAGATAATTAAGGGCATTTGTTAACTGGGTTGGGAAAATAGCCACACTCCTAAAACATCTTGAAAGTTCTCTTTAGGTGGAAAAAGTATACTTAATGACTTGTACTGCTCTGACTATCATGGTGTTTATCGTTTCTTTGTTTTTTTATCAATAATAACCTATGAAAGCATTTTGGTCTGAATTGAGGTGGTGGTTTTACCATAGGTCTATGTAACTCATTTAGTTTTTTAGTTTTTTCTTTTTCTTTTTTTTTTTTTTCAGGGATTGAACACAGAAACTTTAGTTGGAGATTCATCCCCAACTTTAATAATTTTTATTTTTTCACCTAAAGGCAGGGTCTCGCTAAATTCCTTGGGCTGACCTCAAACTTGTAATCCTCCTGCCTCGGCCTCCTGAGTAGCTAGGAATATAGGAGTAGGCCACCATGCTCAGGTTCTTTAGCTATTTTTAATTATTACATGCATTATGTTGTTTTGACGCTACCATTTTATTATTTTCACTTATAAGGCAAGAGAATCACTACAAGTCTGAGCTGTGTAACAAGACCCTGTTCCAAATTAGGATAAAATTTAAAAAAGCAACTACTTAGGTATTTCTATCAATCTGAACATCAGTATCATAGGAGCTCAGCTTCACACTGTTCATCATCTGGCAGGCTCTCTCAACTACCTCTGGCAACCCAAACTTAACTACACTGCTCTGCTTAAACTTCCTGTTTTCCATTTTGATGTCAGCACTCAGCACATTCATTGAATTTGTCCTTTGGCATTTTCCATGTAAAATCAAGTGCAACATTTCTCACAGATATCTAGTCTGCCTTCTCGACCACACCAAGAGCATGACTTCCAGCTCCACCAAACTTTTGAAGCTTTCTCCAAAGTTTCCACGATGATGTGGCACCAAAGCTGGCACCATCACTG